CACAGTAATTATCGGTGAGCTGCGCATAACGAGTGTTACTTGAAACTAAAAATGAATTCTCAAACAATACCCATCCCCGTTGTGTTTCACAACCTTAGAGGATGCGATTCACATCTCATTATGCAAGCTATCTCAAAGACCGACGGCGGTTAAACGTGTATTCCTAATAATATGTAAAAATACATATCATTCTCGTTGACTAAAACTATACATTATAGGGACAAGGATGGGAAAGCCAGAATAAAGCAAAGTAATGGACTTAGATTCATAGAATCCATTCAGTTTCTGTTATCTTCCCTGGACAATTTAGCTAATGCGAACAATCCCGATGACTTTGTGATAACAAATCAATATACCGATAGGTTAACTCGTCATTTGTTGCTGAGAAAAGGTGTATATCACTACAAATATATGGATGATTGGTCTAGATTCGACGAAACTAAATTACCACCCCTTGAATCATTCTATAGTAACTTAACAGAATCTAAAATAACCGATGCCGATTATGAACACGCTCTGACGGTGTGGGATAAATTAGGTTGTAAGAATTTAGGTGATTATCACGATCTGTACTTAAAAACCGATGTACTGTTACTCGCCGATATATTCGAGATATTCAGAAAGACATGTTTAAAACAATACGGTTTGGACCAGGCATGGTACTATTCCAGTCCCGGACTATCGTGGGATGCATTGTTGAAGAAGACTGGCGTAGAACTAAAATTACTCACCGATTACGATATGCACTTGTTTATTGAGAAAGGATTAAGAGGTGGTATATCGATGGTAGCGAAAGGTATTCTAAGGCTAATAATAAATTATTGGAAGGATATGATCCGAGTAAACCAGACAGGCACATATTATATCTCGATGCCAACAATTTGTACGGATTGGCTATGAGTCAACCTTTACCCACGGGGGGTTTTGAGTGGGTCGATATTCATAATATCAATGTGAATGATATCCCCACAGATTCCGATAAAGGGTACATACTAGAAGTTGACTTGGAATATCCAAATTCGTTACATAAAGACTATAACAGTTATCAACTAGCTCCCGAAAGATTAATGGTTAATAAGGATTGGATGTCGGAATATCAACACTCCTTGATGGGTAATACAAGGTTAGCTAATGTAGAAAAACTCGTACCAAATTTGATGGATAAGACCAAATATATAGTTCACTACAGAAATCTCCAGTTATATCTATCGTTAGGTATGAAACTAAAGAAAATACATAGAGTTCTAAAGTTTGATCAAAGCTCTTGGATGGAGCCCTATATAAGGCTGAACACAGATTTAAGAAAGATAGCTACCAGCGATTTCGAAAAGAATCTTTATAAGCTCATGAATAACTCAGTATTTGGTAAAACTATGGAGAATCTAAGGAAGCGTGTTGATGTTAAATTAGTCAGATCTAATGAGGAAGAAAGACTTAGGAAACTTATAGCCAGTCCGGCTTTTAACAGAAGCAAGATATTCGATAACCACTTAGCCGCGTTGCATATGCAGAAGAGTAATATAAAGTTCAACAGACTGGTGTTTGTTGGTATGAGTATTCTCGACTTGTCAAAACGCTTAATGTATGACTTTTATTACAACGAACTTAAGAAGCAATACAGCGATAGATGTGAGGTGTTATATACTGACACAGATTCTTTGTTGATGGTAATACAAACCGAGGATGTGTATAAAGATATGGCAGAAAAAATAGATATGTACGACACGAGCAATTACCCAAAAGATAATCCACTACACAATGTAGTAAATAAAAAGGTGTTAGGTAAGATGAAGGATGAATGTGCTGGGAGATCCTATAGTGGAGTATGTCGGATTAAGACCTAAGATGTATTCTATAAAGAAGTCCGATAATGGGGAGATAAGAAAAGCTAAGGGTGTTAAGAAGTATGTGGTAAAAAAGCATATCAAACAGGAACAGTATAAAGAATCATTATTCAATGGTAGAACGTTCAAACATGAGATGAACTCTTTAAGAAGTTACAATCATAGGATATATGGATTAAGAATGAACAAGACATCATTATCCCCCTGAGATACAAAGAGATGGATTGATAAGGATGGTGTAACTACCTATGCTTATGGTTATTTAGGGCGGTAATACTGTATCGTTGGGAACTATGAGCAACTCTTCTCGTACAAATGCCGTGCCCGGTCCATCTTGAAGATAATAAAGAATAGGCTCTCCTTCTTTCGTAACCAAGAGAATAATGTTATATGTCTTAAGGGACCAAATCGGATCGGTTGCGCGACATAGGCCTCCTTCGAGTTCACCAGGCTGGTATAAATATCTTACGCTTACTCTATCCGGAAGTTTTTGTTCTTTGCCTCTCCTCGGTGCTGAAGATTCGGAAGTCACAGATTTCATTTTAATCGCATCGGATGGTTTCTTCCCGATTAATCTTGTTACTTCATTATTCAGCACTGATAATCGTGTCACCCATCAGGTTGATCTTAATCGTTCCGATTTCATTTCGATCCCATACTGACAGCCAAACAAACGTTGCGCTAATGTCCTGTTAAATCTTTTAATGATAGCTTGACTACGGTGGGCCTATTTTTCACCACGCCTGATTTCGACATCGTGCTTTGTTAACAGTTTAGTTACCGATCCCATAAATTCACGACCAGGATCTACTTGAAATAGCTTAGGCCATTTTAGTGGTCCGCGTTTATATATGCGACTCAGTGCATTAGCTACTTCTGTTTTGAGGTTAATGGCTCAGCCTCTTTGTATCGACTAGCCACGACGGTTAAAGCGTATTTATACGTTTTGCGTCTTACCTTATCGTGGGGAAGAAACAAGAGGTCAGCCCGATGAACTTCATTTGTTGTAAAAATATCAAACTTCTTCCTCGGTATATAACGCGGTGCCGGTAAGTATATTTGCCACATGGCTTGTTTCTTTAACCAATCCTTGGCAGTGGCTAATTTTTGTATTGCTCCTATACCTTTCCAATATCCTTGTGGGCTATAGTAAATTTTATTCATTATTAATTAATATTGATGTTTCTTTTAATATGACTCATGACGATCGATGAATCGCATCAGCGTTTTGACATAAAAAAATCCATCTCTAGTGGTGGTATAGGTATATTAATCTGGCTCCAGTGGAAGTGGTCCAGAACCCCTATTACCTATAAAAATGTATATCATAGAAGCATTGATTGACTCCAGGTGGTGGTGAGCTGGAGTCAATTTAGTTTAATCTCATGACTATCGTTGAATCACATCAGCGTTTTGACATGAAAAATTCCGTCTGTAGTGGTGGTATAGGTATATAAATCTGGCTCCAGTGGAAGTGGTCCAGAACACCTATTACCTATACTACTGTTCAAGACTTAGTGTATTAAGGTAGGTAGGCCTGTCCATAAATTAAGTTGATGAAGGTGTGCCCCCTGATGTTTTTGTTAAAAATAAACATTAAATGAAGCTTTACTCTTTGTGTTTTATCTATTATTAGAGTTGATCACCCGGACAGGAGCCTCATAGAACATATAGGCTAAAGAATACAGCACAGGGAGAAGAGAACCGAACGCAAAGCACCTCAGCTTGGCCAAACTTTCGATACTGGTGGCTTTTTGCCCGTGTTTTAAGCAGTAGACAAATTTGTCTGACAAATTTGTTTTCAAATATTACTTTGTAGTCATGATTGTGTATATATCAATTTGTTCTCATCGCTGTAAATTTTATCTCACTCCCTCATATACACTATATACACTATACTACTAACTAATGCTAATATTAATACTGATACTAATTACACTATGTACACTATTCTTGTTTAGGTGACACACTCATATGAAACCTGTGACTGCCACAAATGTACTTACACGTGGATAACTGTAATTGACATACTGAGCATCGATCTACACAATTGGGGTGCGATGACATGCATCAACCGAGTCTCCAGCCTGACCGCCCAATACCATGAGTCGCTACTTGAGACACGCATGGGTTGTTGAAAACCGGAGACCATACATGTATGTGTTGACCAATTCCAACCAGGATGTTCACGGGTCCCGTGTAGTATGCTCTAATATGGAATCTTTCAGGTGTATTACCACTAGGGAAGTAAAAAAGGTAAATATTTCAATCTTAGGCAAAACACAGTTTATTTCTTCATTTTGCCACACATCTTCCTAATATAGAATAGCATGCCAAGACTGCAGATCTGGCTACCGCAAGTGTTGTCAACATCATTTGTTATGATATTGCGGATGTACATGGCGATCCAGACGTTGTGTGGGCATAATAAATGCAAGCACTGCAGAATAGCTCTATTATTGTTTTAATTTTGTGAATATCTGTACGAGTGGATGCAAAAGGCTCCTTCATTTTACAAACAGGCACAAAAATTAGAAACAAACGTTTCTGAAACGTAGATCATATTTGGTTTAACGCCGCTTTTAACATTATTCCAGTTACATCACGGCGTAGGAAAGGAAAGTGTGAGAGGAAAGCCCGAAGTTATGCAGGTCTCAGCAGTGTAACACTTTGGTGAAACCCACGAGCACGGGTTTGGGCTGCCAAACCTAGAAACAACTGGGATTCGAACCCATAATCATAGGTTTCTGGCGTGCCCAAGCCACGCAACTCTGCACAGCGAATTAAAATTCTTCGAGCTATCTGTTGTTGGGGTATGTATAATCTGGAATATAGTTAAACAAAAACAATATTAAACAGTGTATAAGCATTCTTGATTTACAACTGCCAGCAGTGACCCAGTATGACCCTGGATGTTAACCCGCGCGCAATTGCTCTTCTCAGCACGTAGAGATGTTGTTCTGGTCAAGTTTGCCAGTGTATGAGGTATCATCGCAGTGATGTATGCCCACTTACCTGCATATGTGGCCTCACCCTGTACAGCAATTGTCTTGGATACATCAGTACGTAGTACGAACAATTATAACGGATAACGACTTTTATTGCATAACAACAGTTTTTTTATTATTATTGCACAACACGTAACACATTTATTTTTATTGCAACCCAACGTGTTATTTGAACAATCAAGTTTAAGGGACATGTGTCATGTTGGGGATGCTGACGTGAACATGCAAAGTGATAGCTAAGTATCTGTCAATGAAGCGATGTTCCTTCGTGGCATAATTTGAAACAAATAAGTCTCGCCCAGTAGCACCATGGAGGCAACAGATACACCGACAGCACAAGCTGCGAGGGCACTGTAGTAGTCGTGTACGTGTAGTGTAGACACGCCTACATCTATAGACTTGTCGGAACAGGACTCCTGGGTGGGAACCCACTTCCCATACCATTTAGGATACAGTCCCGTGTCCATCACAGACAACACCCTGTAATGAAAATACCGAAAGTACATACATTTGCTCATGTTAGATTAAAGTTATGCAGCTTTGGTTGCAGAATTGCAGTGCAGTTACTACTTGGATTTATTCTTCCAAGATGTTTTAGTGAGGGGAACATAGCAGCAATGTATACTCTGCAAAGAAAGAAACACAAAGGTAAAGAGGAAAGAATAAAGTGTTGCAGAAATTTGATGAAACGATGGAAATATCGCAAAAACAAAACCACGTGAGAGCCTGGCGCCGAAACACACCGACATGACACGCAACATCACAGTTCTATAGCAAGGCACGTGAACAGAGAAAACATGACACGATTGACGGAAGCCCAACGCAATAACGTCATCGGTCTAGTGCAAACAGAGGTATCATCTTTGGCCGTAGCCAGGTTTTTCCACGTAACACCAAGCACCATTGCAAGACTGTTGAACAGTTATAAGACACACTGGACAACACGTGACCGTCACAGAACAGGGCAGAGTTATACGGCTACGTCAATTACGGTCACCACAGCCAACTACGGCAATACCAGGATTGCGTAGGATATCAGCCCAGGAAATGAGGAACCGTTTACGCGCTGAAGCTCTTCGCCCCAGACGACCAGTTCGCGATGGCATTTTGATGGACCTGCATCGTTGGCTGCGACGTCATTGATGTCAAGGTCACAGGGTATGGCGACAAATGTGATGGAGATTTGATTAAGTGACGCGTAACGTTTTATGGTTCGCCGTGCGGATGGTAGATGTCGTATATACAGGTATCTCGGGGGACGTTATGCACGAAACTGCACACAGGAAGTAGGCTGATTTGGTGGTGGTAGTGTGGTGATGTGGGTCGCCACCTTCTACACTAGTAGAACAGGCTTGGTGCAAGTTCTGGGAATTTAACGGCACAACGTTATCTGGATGAGATTTTTCGCCACGCGGCCTTTTCCAACAAGACACAGGGCTAGACTGACAACAGCCTCTTCAGAAATCACAACATCAAGGTCCTGCCATGGCCCTCCATGTCTTCATATTTAAACCCAATAGAACATGTATTGGATGCACTGAATCAACTACTGCGAGCACGTCAGCAGTAGAACGGATGAACATTCCTCAGGGCACAATTCGGTATCTCATTGCTTCCATGGAACGACGATGTCAGTTAGTTTTGGACTATAATGGTGGCCATACACGATATTGAGAACAGGGGAACTTCACCTTGACAGTCTACTGTTCCATGTGTGAGATATTGAACCTGGTTCAATGACAATGATGTGTGCCAATTTTGAACAATAGATTACAATCTGATGATTATTTATATGACATATAAAATATACATCTAAATTCACGGGTTTCTGTTTATTTGCAGAGTATATTTAAGTCTCAGAGTCGCCCTGATTAGAAATTTATATTTGTCAGCATCATGCCAAGTCTCGTGGATTTCAACAAATTTACATGCAGAAAAAGCTAGCGCGGGATTCGGTTGTAGGGATCTCAGGAAGGTCAAATTTAAGATATGTCCTTACTTTGAGTGGAATAGTCTCGCCATAGGAGAATGCAAAGGAAACGTCATGCTGGATACGGTTGGTAGGAAGGCTTCTTTCATCTTAGCAAGACTACATGTACCATTCATGATAACATCAGAAGCCACGTTTGACTGCATGTACGCAAAGTATCCCTCATGCAGTCGTTGCAGCTGGTACACGTAATCAGCATCTCCAGACTTGGGACCAACAGCATGTGTTTGTTGTATTTTCTTCCATATCTTTTTCAGCGTTGTCTGATTGGAGCTCTGAAGAAAACAAGCGTAGGCCTGTTCTTTACTTTGTACAGGTCTGTCCTGTTGTGAGGAAATCTAGGCATAGAGTAGAGTAGAAGTATCTTTCAAGGGAAGATAACTTTTCATCATTTGTCCTTATCGTACATTGGTACGATAAGTATTTCCTTAGTACATATGTACCAGAAACGATTGTGTATCTCTTTCTGAATTACAACAAAAATAAACAAATCAGTAGTAAGTATTCATTGACAATCATTTATCAACTATCCCAGCTTACATGTTTGTGCACAAATAGTCACTAAATTGTTTGGTCAAATCAAGCGATTTAAGTTCTTTTAGTATCACAGTCCATGACAGTTGGACGTGTGTTATATTAATTGACACATTAATTACTACGATGCAAATAAATGTTACTTTATCATGTTTGACAAGAACGGAAGCGAGTTTCAACAGGTGTGTTGTCACGACAAACTGTGACTGATCAAGAAGATGATTTGTCAAAACACCGTTGCATCGTAGTCGACAATCATTTAATAGACATTGTGCAGATAAGTAGACAGCTAATTTCTTAAAACGCTCACCATTATAGCCAAACTAAGATAACTCCCAACAGGTGCCCCAATATCGTACACGTCTTGGTTAGCCAGCTCCTCCAGGGTACGGAATGGGACGACTGTTCTACTGACAGTGAGGAAGGCCATTAGGTTACCTCTGTAGATAGCTGTCATGATGAGGCAGAACAACCACCAACAGCTGAACAGCATCCTACCAGAGTCAAACATGGGGATGTCCACTGAGGCTAAAACAATTATGAATATGAATATTATAAACGATAAAATACGAGGTATGATTCATATCCTTTTTGGTCCGCAGCTTCTTCATTATTTACGAAATTGTTTTCAATGTTATACACTCTTCAAAAAAGGAAACGCACAGGTTTTATGTAGTTCATTGAACTTGACTAAGCAAAAAATCCGGAATATAAATTGGATATATGTTATTGGAAAATGTTGGTGGCTTGATATTCGACACACGGTGCGTCAAAACGCAGCCATTGTCGATTTGCAATGTTTTAAACGGCATTGTTTTCACATTTGTTCAAAAATGTCATGGAGGAAAAAAACAGTAAAGCAAAATGCACGTGCGAGTTTTGGCATTCGTAACTTCGTAACGTGGTAGTGGCTATAAAAGACAAGCATAAGCAAAATATTTGTTATTCAGTTGTTCTAAATTCCGAGACTCAGCGCTGCCGATCGGAACATCGCAATAGGGCGTATCCAATGCGGGGAATCGCAGTGTTCTATTGCACGCCACATCAACGTCCACCACAGCATCATTTGCCGCATTTGGGACCGATACACACAGTTCAATTCTACTGCACTTCGTCCAAGAACCGGCCGACCAAGAGTTACCACCCCTGCACAGCATCACTAGATTCGACTGTTTCACCTATGTCATCGCAATGCCACAGCTACGGAGACTGCAGGACGCATCCCTGGTTTGAGGAGTATATCGGATCAGACTGTCAGGAACCATCCTCGCGAGGCTGGAATCCGACCCAGAAGACCAGTTATCATGCCTGTTTTGCAACAGATCCATCGACAGCGACGCTTGGGTTGGTGCCATACCTTAGAGCCTTGGACTTTTGAGAAACTGGAGACGAGTGTGGTTTAGCGATGAATCACGATTTCTTCTTCTCCAGCAAGATGGAAGACAACGTGTTTATCGTCGTCGTCGAAATAAGCGTTTTGCCCCACATTGTGGTGTGAATTCGACAGTTTCGTTTGCGGCAGTGCGTGGCGGTAGTGTCATGGTGTGTGTGTGTGTGTGTGTGTGTGTGTGTGTGTGTGTGTGTGTGTGTGTGTGTGTGTGTGTGTGTGTGTGTGTGTGTGTGTGTGTGTGTGTGTGAATGCAAATCGCAACATGAATCAAATTCTACAACCTCACCTTCTTCTAATCACTGGCCGGCAGAGGGAGCTGTTTCAACAGGACCACGCTCCACCGCAACACAGATCGTGTCAGGGTAGACTACCTTCATAATGCCAACATCAACGACTTGTCCTGGCCCTCGAGCACCTCTGGGATGAACTCGATCGACGTGTACGTCAACGTAAGAACACGCCGCAGATACTCCTCAACTGGCCAACGCGTCGCAAGCAGAATGGCGCAGAATACCGCAGGACAGAATTCGGACACTTATCCAGTCAGTGCCGAGGAGATGCAGAGCCGTGTTTGCTGCCCGTGGCGGTCACACGAGATACGAGTTCAGCTCAACCCTGTGGCCTTATGTGACATGACAATGACCAGTTTTCAATGCCTTTGTACAACGACAGCATGTGACTATTGAGCTCCAAAATCTATGATATTAAATTAAATATATCGACTTTATTAGGTACACTTCATTTACTAAAAGTCTACCTTTCCGTTTCTTTTTCTGAAGAGTGTATGTGTGAATGACACTTTTAAGACCTAATTGTACTGGTAAAAACATATGGTTCATATATCTTTTTTAAGAAACTCAATGGCCGAGGACTTGCTCACAGTAATCCTTTCTCCTCAGGCATAAAATATCGACAATGTTCACGTATTTTAGTTACACGTATGTATTTAGTCAAGTCAGAAGTCCAAAACTTGCAAGCTTACGAAGATAAAGACAGGTTGAACGAAATACTTACATATTATCTCACATACAATTTTCATTCAAATTCCCCTACATATTATCCGAAGAGTTTTCATGTAAATTATAACGTTAACTAGGTATTGTATGGCATAACGTATGGTTAACTAGGTATAGTGGTAACTTGAATATAATTTCACCAAAAATGACTTATTTTTACCGGAGAACATTGATTCATTTCTTGCCGGAACAATATGTGTTAAACACTCACCCTGATTCAGAGGAGGCATGATTCCCATCAAAAGACCACCAGAAGAAACGGAGTTTTTCATTATTCGCCCATCTTTAGATGGATCAGGGGTTGACTTAAGCAGACATACGTGTAGCAGTCCAACGGTGAGCATCACAACAACTCCAACAATGTAGACCTCCCATTTGAAACAAGAGATCAACACTTTCCATATCTTGCTTTCATCTTGCGATGTTTTATAGATCACTGTTGAGTATTCCATGAGTACAGGATATGTAAACTCCATCACCTCTGCACGTTCAATGTTAAATGCATAGGGAACAGAACACATGTCTGCTTCCTGGAATAACACGAAGAGAGTGGTGCAATCAACTTTGACATGTGCAGGCAGTTTAGATTCTTGCAGGTTGTGTATTTCACAGATACTCATCTTGATTACGACATTAACATTTCAACATCAACATGAAAAAATTCTCTGACTTTCACAGCATCTGCTATTTGGCGATATCATGTCAAATGTCATGTTCATTCACTCATAAATATCCTCTTCTTCCCGAGGCAAGGGCGTTAACTGATTAATATAGTCCAGTTTCAACCCTTGCCGAACTAGGCTGGACTGCCGGAGTTATATTTTGGTTTGACCAATGAGTGTTTGCATAGTCCAATCACAATCACGTAGAGAACAAGACATCCGGTTCGCCAAAAAACATTGAATTCAAAGTGCATGATTTGCAATGCATGTGTGCCGCCAACTGGGTATCGACAGACATTTTTTCATGTTTTTAATCAAGGTGCTTCAGTGATTTGATGCACTTCACGATTACAATATCTATAGATCTTGATAATCAATCAGATCGTCTTGACTAGGCGCCGCTATGTTGTCTGAAGCAAATGCAAGTGCTTTGAGAAGTCGAATATGATTGGTCAGTAGGAGGGACATAACTCGTAATAGCCACTGGTGGCGCTGCGATCAAGCCTGGAAATCCCAGCCTAGTTCGGCAAGGGCGGAAACTGGACTTTTATAGTCAGTTGACGCCCTTGCCCCGGGAAGATGAAATATCACCAGTGTCATTCGGGTTATATTCTGAAAATTGCATAGATATGTCATGCTTGTAACATCATCTGCACATTGGAAAGCACGATAAAAAGTCATACAGTTCACCTCCCCGTAAAACAAAAATCTACCTCTCTTTGGAGCAGGCCTACAATTCCCGTCCAATTCCCGTCTTCGGTCTTGTGTCCCCACAACTTGTCCGGGGGCTCGATGTACTTGTAACTAGTAACAGATCGTGATTTCACCACAAACTTGTATTGGGTGTTATTTATAACACATGTAAAGAAAATTAGAAAATTGTGAATATTTCAGCAGAATGTTACTTGTAGCTTTTGCTATCATAAGTTTCATGACTATATATCATCACACCACGCTAATGTTTGATGTAGTATCAATTCTGGTTAGAATTTTTACCAATAATAGATTTAACCAACGATTCCTGCTTCTCAAACAGATCAAGACACAGTTACCTGAAATTGAAGCTTTTTGAAAGGTAGTCCATGTATTCACCGGATATACCACTATAGGTAACGATGCCACTGTCTCGCTCCTTTACACTGAAAGGTTTCCACTGTCAAAATCAAGACAGGAAAACACATAACAGTATGTCAGTAATTTGTATGAGGTATATATATATATAAAATGTTTGTTAGCTATATTATGGAAGCCAAGTCACTAATCACGATCAATCAGTGGGCGTATCACATTAGCATAATATATGTAATACTACCTCAAGCGCCACAACAATAAGTTTTCTTCCATTGAGACCAAATCTAGTATTAGGGTACACCGTGGAGTTGTTTAGGCTGATTGTGCTGCCTCTGTCAAGAATGTCCCACTGTCTACCTTCCTTCGCCCAGAGCAACGTGGCGACCTCCTTTATCGTTGTATTCTACAAATATGAATTTTGAAAACTAAACAATACTTTCATGTTGTTTAAGGGTAAAGTTGGCAAATAGTGTGTGAGTGAGTTTGGTTTAATGCCGCTTTTGACAACAGTTGAGTTTTATCACAGCATCAGTTGAATGTGGGCAGAATGGTTAACCCATGACCATGGGTTCTCTGGGGCAACTATGGAAAGTGAATTGCCGCGTCTTAGACGACAGCGCCACTCAGCTTTAGTGACGGAGGTGACACTCCTCCTCGGTTATGCATGGGGTTGGAAACCCCAGGGAAGTGAGGTGAGGGGGAAAAAGGCCCGAGGGCGTAACCCGTGATCTTCCTCCCGTTGCTGTCTTCTCGAAGGTTTACAATCCCAAGCATAACCGAGGAGGAATGTCTTATCTGGAGTAGGATATGTTTAGGTTTGTTGTAGGATCAGTTATAACTTGTATTTTAGAACTTAATTTTACTGTTTACTGACTGGCTTGCGAACTTGGTAGTGTACCACGCTGGACACAGATAAAGCGCCACAATTTATTGATCAGATTTACGTCCTTTGAATTGATTGTGACTGAGTTCGCTTGTCATCTGGTCGACTCTGAGATTATGACTCTTGGTTATTACTATCATACCGATTAAATCAAAGTAAAATTATTACACAATTGCGCGATGTGCATGACTTTACAAATATACTGATATGATATATGTCCGATTTACTATGCAGAAGTTTAGCTTGAAACTTGAATGCTTAGTTATCTTAACCTGAACAAACACTTTAACTGCACAACTTCTTGGAGACAAATAGATACATTCTTTACCTTAATGTATTTGATATTTAATATGTTACGCCCGTCACTTCTACATATATGTGTTCTTGTGATGTGATTCTCGAAGACTCTGAACAAATCGCAAGCAGCAAGTTTTGTGACACAGAGACGTGAACGCGAATATGGTCTAAAATAGGTGAACCTACCTTGTTATCAGTCAGTAAGATAACATTGTCCATCGTCAAATTTGTGACAGCAATGCCTGTGTTGTCATTTGGAATGAGAATCCACTTAGAAAAATGTCTCAACACAGACTGCTTGCCGACCTTCATATCAAGCTCCAGCCCCTGAAAAACAGACATGCAAGTTCATCTACAAGTACTGTTAAGATCACAGCTATAGTGACAAGAATATGTCTTAACACGTATTCTGTATTTTCTGTATACTGACATTTCTTCGCGAAATTAGGGTGTTGGTGTCAGAGCAACAACATCCAATGGAAGTATGAAGTTTGCCGCCTTGCACATAACAAACCTTAAGAAATATACTAATATATAGAAATGCACACGGTATGTAGGTAAGTTTCAACCTTGGCAAGACTGCAAGAGCTTATTGAATGCGTCTATTATATACGCGTTTATCCCTCCCGTCGTAAGAGCTTGTTAAGGGCAGCTAGTATGTACGTATATCCTTTTACCGTGGCAAGAGCTTGTTGAGTGCACCTGGTATATACGTAAATACCTATCGTGGCAAGAACATGTTGAGTGCATCTAGTATCTACTACATTCCTTTAGTGGAAAGAGTTTGTTACGTGCATCTTGTATGCAAGAACATGTGTATATACATGTACGTATATTCTTACCGTGACTAGAGCTTGTTGAATGCACCTTGCCGAGCAGGACAGGACAACGTTGAGCGTTCTGCGCATCATATCGATATTCCCATGCTGAACCAAGTCGTCAATGACTGATGTCAAGTCATCCTGAAATGTATCCTCTCCCATAAACTGTACTTTTGTTCGATGCGTCAAGTTACCAGTGAGTTTGTATAGACAGGTATCTGAAGTGTGCAAGTGTAAATGTGCATGGTCATTGCATTTATTTACATTAAGCATTATTTAAGAAATTAACGACACGTGGTCGTTATTCTTCCTACACTGTTTTATTGAACGATGAACAACGATCACAAGTCGTTTATTTCTTATATGAGATATCAACGTTATGTTCAGCCCATTGAAGGATGTTGATAAATGTGCAACCTTTTAAAATGGTTACCTAACTTTAATAATGATGACTTCCTGAATAGAATCCGACCTCGTCAATGTCGGATAAGTCCATTTTATAAACAGGTTCGTTACGTTTTGTCGCATATTCTCTGTACCTTTCGTCTCCTAAAACCGATTGTCATATCCCTCCTACGTTTGGATGCGATCATTCGGCCACTACGTTTTTCTGAGGAACCCCAGGTGCATCTATGGAGGACAACTCTCAAGACACTTCCCGCTCAAAAATAACGTCGTCCAGTATGTGACGTCATCAAATTAGAAGCGCATATTCGAATATCGAGAAATGACGTCACGATGGAACATTTTTTTATTGTAAAATAAACCACGCTTCGTTCTCCATTGCTCTTTACGATTTATCGCGTAGGCTATCTTATATTTAATTTGTAGAGAACTGCTTTGCGTGATCGTGTTTATTTACTATTACCACTGTGTGTACAATATGGACATCTACTCACCAACTGGTTTGTTATCGACTGGTTTCAGCCACCATTTAGAATAATGTATACAATATGAACTGTATAGAATGTGTACATTAACATTGCATGCACGATTTGCAAGCTTCACATAAATATATTGCTCTGATTTTGTCTTGTCAAATGCTGAAGTTCGATAATGATCTCGATAATCTCTGTTCATCTTAATGGCACATAATAACCATTCTGAGGATGCTTGGTTCTCAGAGCAAAATATGATCACATTCCCATGCAGTGAAATAACAAGGTGGTTTATTTGTGTATTGACATACTCAAACCATTGTTATTTAACAACAGTGTAATATGATAAACTAAGGGGAAAACTGAAGTATACCGAGCTGTTGTTTTATACTGTAATTCAAAATTGAAAGAACTGTTATAAATTCGATTATTTATATCTATTCATCACTCATTTCTGCAACAGGTTATAAATAATAATATGTGACTGGGTAATTTTGTCTAAAACATAAACTGGTTCAATGAAGAATTGCGTAAGAAATGAATTTGCAACCACATAACCCATATCATGTTTGAAATGTTGTAATTATGTGCCGAAAAATATTTAAAAAATAAGCAAAATTATATTTTGAAAATTAATATTCTTTGAGTTTGGGCTAACCGCCAGTACAATTCATTTTTATCATTAACTTAGATATTTTCAATTGACAATGAAACTGATATATAGTTTATCATTCTCGTAATTCGAAGACCAAAACTAAGACATGTGTATCATACATGCATGTTGTTATCATAATTTGGGAAAACACCTCTCTGTCTTTTATCTACTATAATCTCTGAATCTTCGTACCTTGTTCGCCATCGTAAATAATGTAGACAGTTTCCATCTTCTCCATTGAGATGATGTTTGAAACGGCAGCCATTGTATGACAGTCAGTTTCTGGTGGATTTGTGCCTGACAAAACAAATCTTATGATCATGACACCGCATGGAATTCTTCGCCTGTACTTCATATTTCCCCTTTCTTTGTTACTTTGTAATGACAGCATTATCTGTTTTTGGTTATTGAGAGATTGCTTATCTTTGCCGATGTTCATTTATGGAACATGATTAGTGAGACATTATTGATATTTGTATTTTGGGCATTTCATCATCATTGTTTTAATAGTTTCTGATCAGAAAACCACAAACAAGAAAAAAGCAACACAGAAGGAGCCGACACCAAATGGCAAATAATCAGTATGAAAAACGTGCAACTTTATGAATAACAACCTTTGGTTTATGGCATATAGCGACGTTTCGATTCGAGTTTCTTAAATAGATCTTTATAGGCAGACGGAATGTAATACCCTTGATCTCTGTTGATCAAAGTTTTGTGACAGCGGATTTCTATATCTTCTGAGAGTTTTCTTTTGGGGAAGTCCTGATGTTTTGTTGAGAGGATTTAGACTTTGTCAAAATGAATTTAATGTCTATGGAATTTTTGCTTGTCTGCCTATGACAATCTACTTAAGCAATAGACTAGTTAAATTAGGATCCAATCAGCCTGTCGAAACTGTATAAACCCTTAATCTTCACCCTTACTGTATATCTGGCTTCACGACTCGTGTGCTTCATCGTTAATCTTACTGTACATTTGGCTTCATCAAATCATCTACTTGTTATCTATTACCCTTGTTGTCAATGTTAATCTGCTGCTTATCAAAACATGTCGTGCATATTTACCTCTCCTCACTTGGTTGTTGTCACTCCATCTTGATAACGGTGTAAGAATCTACATCGAAACGTCGCTATATGCAATAAACCAGAAGTTGTTATCCATAACGTTGTACGACAATCAAACAATTAACACCACTTTGAACAGTATTTCAGTTATATTCTTGTTGTATGCATCAGTAATGCACATATATTCCTACCGTAATAAGGGCTTGTTGCATACATTGGTATATACACGTGTATTCCCACCATGGCAAGTGCTTGTTGAATGCATCTAGTATATAGATATTTCCTCTCGGTACCAGAGAAGTGACGCACTTCATAGACAGCATAGGACCATAGTGCATTTAGGGAACGTAACTCTGTTCAGTGAATTGGCTAGAAATCACTACATATGTTATTCAGATGCAGGTTGATAGACGATATGGGGCGGTCGGGTAGCCTAGTGTTTAAAGCGTTCGCTCGTCACGCCGAAGACCCGGGTTCGATTCCCGACATGGGTACAATGTGTGAAGCTCATTTCTGGTGTCCCCCGCCGTGATATTGCTGGAATATTGCCAAAAGTAGCGTAAAACCATATTCACTCACTCACTGATAGAAGATATAACCTCCTTATCAATGTCGTGATAACGAGGACGATTTGAGTATCGAGTAACCACAGATAAAATCCATGTTTCTATTGAGGCTAGTTATTATCTAATGTTCGTTGGATGTGATAAAGCATTGATGAGCATTATGTGCGGGGATTATAATAACGTCATTATTAACATGTATGGTGTTGCCGTATGAAGCGAAATAATCACACTACTAAAGTGAAATCGTGAACATTAACGTAATCTGACTTACCTGTGTTCCAACGTGTCTGTGTTACCTGTTGAACCGTCGAAACACATTGGACCAGGATACCCAGAAACAACGGGGACAACATCTCTTGAACAACGAGGCCGTGAATACAGAAGACCTTGTTTACAGGGTGTTTATATACTTTATATTAATCAATAGGATACACTTTGGAGCCAAAAAGACAAATCACATGTGTGTACTAATGAGTGATGAACAAGTTTTACGAGAATCGTACTTACCATTCATATTTTATTTTATAGCCAAAGAGCTAATGGCATATTACTGCAAGATGATTATTTGCCTTTTTCGCTAACCAGGTGGTTTTGAAAGTCATTAGCTAAGTGATGATGGGTAATTGGTGCGTCTGCCAAATGAAAAAGGTTTTAACAATTGTTTATGGATCAACAAAACGCGCACTCGGTTCAACAGAGAAAAGAAGCCTGCTTGTTAATATATGTTAAAGCTATAGATATATAGATAGATGGATAGATAAAAGGCGAAAGTCCAAAGTTGATCTCTATCATATACTCTATCGGTCCCACCATTGTGATTTTCAAAAGTACATGTATATCCAAGCTCTTTCCAAGTGTACGACATCGTCGTTACAATCCCGTTAAAATCGCTGACACCAGTGTTGAAGCCGCCGTTACAAGAATCTGGAAATTTGCCCTCTGACCCTAAATGTAGTGACAATTATATTTTGGGATATGTCTTTGGGCATGCCATCCTGATGAATTTGAAAAGGTTTACGATGAACTATATTCTAGATGAATTTTCGTTTTGTTTGTTTCATCAGATTGGTTCGAGATTGCAGACCAACAGGAAAACGCCTTTAATTTCCTCCTTATATTCTTATCACGACAATTACAAGTGAAATTGATATGGTCAAACAAAGCAAATAAGATAGTTTCGGGGAAAGAGTAATCGGCGTCACGACAGTGATCACTTGTTTGTAGGTAATGTAAAACATTGAAGTTAACATACTATTTTCATTTAAACAGTTTTCGCAATAAAGTAGTTACACCAAGGATGGTAGCTCCGGTGTGCTGGACTGACTCCTAGCTCCGACGTTCACACCATTTGACCCTCATGCCATGATTATAAATAACAGCAGGCTGAGGATGAGCTTTAAAAACCCTTTCAATAATAATCAGTCCGTTGTACGATTACGGCTTGATCATATAAACACGTGTTTATTAATAATAACAAGAGCAAGGTAATTGTATTTCGCAAAGTTGGTTGACTAGAGAAATATGATTGGTTTTTTTCTCTGAATACATAAATACTTAGGTGTACATTTTTCAAGCTCTGGATCATAGTTTAATACACATAAAACTTTAACACTTCAGGCCAATAAAGTTTTGCAGTCACTAGAACCAAACGTTATTGATTTTCACAAGTTACCTTTACATGTTTTGACTCACCTATTTGATGTCAAGCTTTTACCAATTTTGTTGTATGGCAGTGTAGTTTGTTTTGTTGTTGTTGGGGTTTTTTGGGTTGTTTTTTTGGGTTGTTTTTTTTTTTTTGGGGGGGGGGGGGGGGGGGGGGAGGGTTTTAAATACATGAAAATATTTAAATATTGAACTAGATTGATATTACAATCCTATTTTGAAACATGTTAATTATTATCAAGTGTCCTTGGCTGATAAAGATATTGAATGTTCGGCTTGTCATGTAAAACAACTATTATCATCATATGGTTTTGGTTCTGGCTATTGTAATCAAGATGTTCCAAATGTAAATACGTTTATTGTTTGTTTTAAGCAAAGATGTATAGATATAGACCAGCCAACTTGGTTAAGTAAAGTAAAAACATTATCCAAACTTGAAATGTATTCACAAATTAAACCATGCATTGTATTACAAAAATATTTAACATTAATACCTGTTGGTGTATATCTATTTGCTCTTAGATCTTTCCGTTGTTCTAGTCATAACCTAATGCTTGAAGGAGGTAGAAAAATTGGTCTTTCTAGAGATGAACGCTGTGTAGTCTGTGTAATTGAAACACGGACTTTTTGGCGTTGAATGTCAATTTTATTCAGATCTAAGAAATAGTCTTATACCTAACTATTATCATTCCCAACCTTCATTTGATAAATTTTGCACTCTTATGTCTTGCCAAAATGAACATGTTATTAATGAATGAGATAAATATATTATTCATGCTTGTAAGAAACAACAATAGTTTTTCAAATGTATGCAATAATTCAATTATTTCACTATGTATATCACTTGTATTATCTGGCTCTATTGTTGTAATCCACTGTATCCATATTGTATAATGGGCCGGTGGACTCTTTACTGAAAATAAACTCATTCTAATCTATAAACATTTGTTGAATCTTGACTGATTGTTCTGAGATTATCTCTCATCTTCGTAGTTAGAAAAAGAAATGTGATAGTCACCAAAGGTTGACGCTGCTGGAATGTTGTTCAACATGAAGGGAACATTGACTGTTGGAAAGTTGAAGTCATCCCCCTTGTCATGCAGTCTTGTGGATAATTGATCTAAATCAAATATATGATCAAATTGATGCACCATTATGCAATTAAACGAGCAAAATGCCTAACATAATATATAAATTATATCCTGTTCTGTCAACACTTTTTTTAACCATTCGATTTAAAATGTAAATAATCAGTAGCATAACTTCATATTCCATGGATGCAGACTGAATCGAGTTAGGGACATCGATTCAGTTACAGTTTGCTTATGATTTATAGGCTTTGTTCAGCAGCGATATTTATGGTCAGTGAATGCTGCATATTTGACAAATAGTCCTTCTGACCGACATTTGAGCAGAGGCTAACTCGTTGTGTCAGTTCTTTATGAAGATACATAAATTCAGTACCACGATGTGTATCGATAAAAAACAAAACTTTGATATAAAGTGTTTCAGTTGCTATACATCTTTAATACATCCAATTAGCTCGCGCCTATCCTAACTAAGATACCTCCCAACAGGTACCCCAGTGTCCTACATGTCTTGGTTTGCCAACTCCTCTAGGGATAAATGTGTGCAATGGTTCACATAATAGCAACTCTTTACATCTTATACCGATTAACACAACAAACTTTCCACACCGCCATAACGGCCTTAAAAGTTATCTAAGCGTTATCATAATTATTATGTATAGTGTCATGACATTGACTATGTCGTTACTGGACGTATACCTTTCGGTAATAATTACAATATGCACCTTAATATAGCTTATAAAGATGGGAATCTATTTATCAATGATAACATATTGTAATGTTGTTACGCCATTGAAGTGCTGCCCTTTATTAAATGAATGACTGAACTAATAATAACAACTTCTTGACAAAAAGAGGGTATATTCCCATGTGTGACGGTGCAAAAAATGAAACAAGCAAGAAATGTTTACCCAGTTTATATTGCTATTACCTGACGATCAAATAAAACTTTATCAGAAGTAGCAATGTAACCACAGGACAAAAAAGACCATGGTAACGTGGTGAGCATTCTTGAGGGGGCTACCCTCTGTATGGATAAGTGTGCATAAGAATGTGTATGAAATATGTCTTGACCATAATGCAATTATTCACAGTCTGGCTCAGATCTTGGCTGTTAATCAGCGGGTGTGATCTTTGTTGAACACGTCAAGTCAGGTCGTCCCAGATAAGCTCGATTAGCGACGAGAGGGCACTGGCCAAGATATCATGTTGATGTTGATGTTGGCGTAAAGGAAATCCTCTACAATACGTTGTGTGTGAGGTCTGTCTTTATCATGATCAGATGTTGCGCTGTCAGCGTTGTCCCCTGTCCAATAATCATCCATTGCCACCCTTACCCGAAGAGCCACGAATTGCATCTGCAACTCAATAACTTCAGCAAGACAAGAAATCAAGCACCTGACATGTGATGATAATATGACTAATATTTAGACAAAGTTATGCATTTGCTTTCAAAAACAGCCTGCCATCGAAAGACAGTAAAATAAACAGTAACATATCACAGATTTACGTTAAAAAACAAGCTTGAAAACAATAACGAGATCCAATTGTTAAACGACACAATATAAAACTTTGGTATATGTCAGTCTGAAAATAATGTAATTAACACAGTCAATAACTTAGTCCAAAATCAATTAGATTTGTACCTGTGAGTCGTTGGTCTTATTATATGCTGATAATAATGTATCATTTACCGAAACATGTGAAGAATTGCAAAACGCTCTAGGAACATTTGAGTTCATTGACATATGTGGAAACTGAACGTAAATGCTAGCACAACAAAAGTTACCTTTTTCAGCCTAAGTACGTAAACCACATATTTGTCATTTAAACAATGTACCAACTGAAACTGTGAAAGAATATGTATATAACTTGGCGTGTTACTTCAGATATCAAGCCACCATCGCGATATGACAGACAGACAGACAGGCAGATTTTATAAGACTGATAGTTAACATCTTGTTTTAGGCCTATTGTTAAACATCGGAATACACTTTGCTCTAAGATGTTCATACTTATCACATACTAATAAAACATATAACTTATCCTCAATTTCTTCTAATTGACAGTTTTTACAGATTTAAACGTCCTTTTTTCACATCTACGCATAAAATTTACACTGAAATTGTGTAATGACACTCTGAATTTACATACTGCCCTAACAAGCGATTTATCATCTATCATAATTATATACTTCTCTGGTTCTATAGGGGCGGTCGGGTAGCCTAGTGGTTAAAGCGTTCGCTCGTCACGCCGAAGACCCAGGTTCGATTCCTGACATGGGTACATTGTGTGAAGCCCATTCCTGGTGTCCCCCTGGTGATATTGCTGGAATATTGCCAAAAAGCAGCGTAAAACCATACTCACTCGCTCTGGTTCTATAGCAGACTTGATATCCTTTAATGAAGTTGCATTAATGAATGATGCAGATTTGTGATGCTTGAAATTCGGGGAAAACTTATGTTAAACGATAGGAACTTCATGTGGTTAAGTCATAGTAAGGATTGTCTAAAATGTAATTATATACATTAAATGAATAGTTTGAGCAGTCATGGCGTACAACCACAGAAAGGTCCACCAGTTATGTACAACAATTTATTTATGTTAGAACC